GAGTGAGCGATGCGTCCGCGTGGACAGCTGCTATACAATAATACATTTCCATTTACCTCCTTCTCTATATCCATACAAAATATCTATCAAACAAATAAAATTAAAATTTTCTTTTGAAAAATGAAACCATTCCATCAGTATTTTCTTATGACGTGTCACGTTCAACTATCGTCAGTAAACCGACTTTACAGACAACCGATTTTTAACTGGTAGAGGGAGAAAAATAGATGAATTTACTCCTAACTTAAAATATTCAATTTTTTTTTTGTAAATCGGTGGTCAGTTTGATTAATGTTATAATTTTTATAGAGGCTACGATATGTTAACATGGTATTTTTGAAAATTTAATGTACTTTAGATGATTAAAATTGTGCTTTTCGTTTTCATTTAAATTGGTCCATGTCACAGGAATTGAAAAAGTTTCTGGACGATGCAAGTGAAGGCGCTATCTACATGAGTTTGGGTTCCAACGTAAGGAGTGCATTCCTAGACGAAAAAGTCATTGAAATGTTTAAACAAACGTTCTCTGAATTATCTTGCAAAGTATTATGGAAATGGGAAAACGACAGTTTGCCGGGTATTTCCAAAAACGTACTTTTAAAGAAGTGGTTTCCACAACAGGATATCTTAGGTACCTATACAAATATGTACGATAAAACATTTCTATTTCAAATAGTTATTATTTGCGATAAAATAAAGCGATAAATAGAATTAAAGAATCTCAAAATGAAATATTTTCCAGAAATTTCAAAACAGGCACATCTATAAAAAATCAGTTTCAAGAATCATTAAGGTAATCCGGCCGAGTTTTGAATAGTAAAATCAAAAACTAAATAAAAATTCATAAAATAAATTAATTTGTATCTACCTTAAAATTATTAAAGGAAATCCTTGATAATACAATAAATTAAATAGCATTTATTATTTTAAAGTCATTTCCAACAAGAAAAAGTTACACTTTCGAAAGGCCACGTGATGTAGAAGTTATACCTAAAAAAATTGTATTCCACACCAAATGATTCAATAATCAGTATCGTTATTGATCGTGGGTCAATTAGAAATGTTATTGTGAATTCGTATCAGGTTAATTTTTTAAAATAAATTGCCCTAAGTAATTAATATTTCATATTATTAAATTGTCAATTCAAAACTGAGCTTTTTGCGACTGTGTCCAAGTTGCTGAACTGTAACCTTTATAAAAGATCCACAAAGCACAAAAATGCTTATGAAAAATCAAGTTGAAAAAGTTTTCAAATTACTAAAAAATTCCATTACGTTTACCATGAAAATTTATAACTAAAAATGATGAACGATGATTCCCTCTAAGGTTACGTGTTAAATTTTTCTATTTAGATTATTATTAATGTTTTAACTCAGTTAGAAGCTTTTTCCTTACTGTTGTCAATGAAACGGTTTTAACTATCAAATAAAATTTTGGCTAGATTACTTTAGAAACATAGCATAGATAGTTTCACCAATTTATTAATTAAGTTCTACAATATTGCATTCTGCTTTAAGAAATTTGACTGATAAAACCATTGATGAAAGGGTAAAACTGCCCATTGCGTCCTTTAGTGAATTCACAGAAAATTTTACAACCCATGCACAAAAGAAAGTCTTAATATTATTACTGAAGGGTCTACATATATATCAAAATTTCTACCACAAAAAACGAAAAGAATCATTTTTTTCACCAATAAATATAAACGTTTTTTGTTTTCTTTTCTTACTAGAATTTTCCTCTTTCCCAATTCAATTTTTAATAACGAGAATATAAAATAGTTTGGTTGACTGAAGCTATGTATTTCACTTCCAGCTCATCGTAACGTGAGGGTTTTTATAATGCAGGGCGGGATTCAATCTACCGATGAAGCGATATTTAATAAAGTCCCTTTAATTGTGCTGCCTTTTCTGGGTGACCAGATGTACAATGCCAAAAGGGTTGAAATAGTTGGAATTGGAAAATACATAAATCCCTACACACTGACGAAAGAACTACTAAAAGAGACAATTTTGGAAGTATTACAAAACCCTAAGTATGTTTATATTCATTAGCATCACATGTAGTATATAAAAGCTATAAAACCTTTATAACGAATATATCTAATAAAAAACCTTTCTAGAGGTAATTTAAAATCTCATGGACCGTAAAAATTTGAGAAGGGCTTGTTGGGGCGCAATTCATGATGCGCCTTTTGAACAACGAAAACATTTGTGTATTTCGCAGTGTTAAGTTTAGAATAACGTGCCTGCAACAAAGGAATGTTATCATTATTGTATTTAGGTTTTTCCTCGGCAGGTAACGTCCCTTCGCGTTAGTCACCAGATGGGTCGATGGTCTTTCCATCCACAACAATATTCTGATTTTAGTCACGTAGTCACTAACCGTAGCCTAAGGTCAAAAACACCCCACTAACGTACCTCCACCCCCTATATTTTCTTGTCATATTTAAGCATTTTATCTATCTAAAAGTTCATTAAGTTTTCATGTTTTCAACCATTTAGTTTTCTCTGCCAAGTTCAATCAATTATCTATTCAGTTCATCAGTAGTTCATTCATTGTAGTTATTTTTAAGTGTTTTTTTTTGGTGTTAGTTTAAGTGTATGTTGATTATTAAAAAGTTAAAAATCACATAAGTCGTTTACTGCTCGTACTGCTCCAAGAAGAATACCACCGATAGAAAATATTCGGCCGTTATATCTAAAAAATAGACTTCGCTAAATTAATTTTTATCGAAGAGGGTTTAAGTGTTCCTTAGGAAAATCTAGGCTAGCAACACACCCGCAACATTCAACAGGGCTTTTATATCATACTTTTGGAAAACATTAACCGTGTGCCTTGCGTTTCAACACGATAAACTTTAAACAGTCTTTAATAAGGGGTCATCATCATAAGGTCGTCAGTCTTAAGACTGGTTGGACATGTACCTCTACCCCTTCCTATCCTGAGCTAATCTTCGCATTTTCCTAAAACTAGAACAACCCATATCCTTAACTATTTGCGAACATTAATCTAATCTAGGTCTACCTCTACCGCTCCTAATTTCCGTTTCTGCCTCTAATATGTCTCTGACTAGACCTTCATGCCCGAGAAGGTGTCCTACCAACCTATCTCGCCTATTTCTTATTGACTTCCATAGAGTCCTCTGTTCTCCTATTCTTTCCAATACCTCTTCATTTCTAACCTTTTCTACCCACGATATCCTCATCATCCGCCTATAACACCACATTTCGAACGCTTCTAACCTTTTCTTTTCCGCCGCTCCCACTGTCCATGTTTCGCACCCGTACAACGCCGTGCTCCAAACATACACCTTTAACAACCTTTTTCGAATTTCTAAATTAACCGTTCGCGAGCATAGAAGTGACTTCTTTTTATTAAAGGCGACACGACCCTGCGCTATCCTCTGCTTTATATCCCTACTACTCCTTCCATCCTCACTTATCTGACTTCCTAGGTATCTAAAATCAGCCACTTCTTCTAATTTTTCGTCTCCTATCTTTATATTCGCTCTTTCCCTACTTTTTCTTCCCTTGCATATCAGTATTTTTGTTTTACTTTTATTTATTTTCATACAATACTGTTTTGTCAATACCGCTTCCATTTTATTTAAAGCTATCTCTAACTTCTTCTTGGTAGATGCTAATACTGCTATATCATCTGCAAATTTAAGCATACTAATCTTTTGCCCCTGTATATCTATCCCTACAGTTGTACTGTCTTTAATGATGTTGATCGCGTCCTCGATGTAGAGATTAAAAAGTAATGTGGAAATCATTGTACCTGCGCAACCCATGGTTATCGCCCATGAGATTCTAAATTACCTCTACCTTCTTGCTCTGGCCAGAGTCACTAATTATTTCATTTGAATTTTAGATATCGAAACAAAGCAGCCGAAATATCAAAACTATCTTTGGATCAGCCCATGACCGGGATCGAAAAGGCTGTGTGGTGGACGGAATATGTCATACGAAACAAGGGTACAAAATATTTAAGAAACGATTCGGTGGATGCCCCCGCTTATAAATATTTCATGTTAGACATTTTATTGTTCCTAATTTCGGTCGTTTACGTTATATATCTGTTAATTAAGTCGTTAAGTGGTTTTAAAAGAATCGTATTCTTAAGTATTCTAATACCGCTTACAGTGTACATTCTAATTTAAGTACTGGAATTTACAGTAAGTAGGTAATTACAAAGTTGCAATTGTAGTAAATTTTATTTTTATATTTTTATGTTTCTTTCTTGTGCAAGTGCTTGTGTTTCACAAAACTTATTATTCTTGGTTATGATTAGGGTTGCCACCTTTTCAGGCTTTACATAAAGTATTTCTCGATTAAATGGTTAAAAAAAAGTACCTACTGAGCATAAAAATAAAGTATTTTATTTTTTGTTTTTAAAAACATATTTTTGTTACATCTAGCAGCCAGTAACAAATTGCTGTCGTTCTTAAATACATTAATAGCATCTAAACATGGCAAACAAAGATTTAAGTAAACTAAAAGTTCATTTTTAATTAGTTTTAATGAAGCTTTATTCCTGTCGTCCCGCCACTTTGCGTTGATAACAGAGAATACTCTTTCTATAAATGCTGAAGTGGCCGGAACAGACAGCAAAAGTGACACTACTTTGAACAGATTTGGGAAATCAGGTTGTTCCGTAAATATGGCTTGTCATTTTTCTGGGCAAAATTATTGATGTAAAAGTGCTCTGAATTTACAATAATCGCTTACAAAATTACGATGTTTACTTAAGGCCTTAAATAAAGTAATTTTGCGTACTTTATGTGTCTTGTAAAGTATAACGTACGCACAGTCGAAATAGAGTACAATACTTTATAATAAAGTACGGGTGGCAACCCTAGTCATGATATCGAGTAGGAAACTGAAGGAGGAAGGAACTCCCCTAGGAGAACGTTTCTTTACTCGATCCCCTATATCTCTCTCCAATAATAAGTCAATAAATCTATTGTATGACACCGTAAAAATACAGAAAAAAAAAGCAAAAGTTATCTTCACACTTCATTAATTGATTATGGACATATCATACGTTTCGGATCTTATTCCATTATAAGTATCATTGTACTCTTGATAACAGTGTCATACCCGAAACATGTGCCGTCTGTAATGAATAGGCGAACATTATCTTTTAATTTGTTAAATAAATCACTTATTATTCAGGATGAACAAATAGTGTGCTATATATTACGTATGATAATTACTGCTTTTTTACGTATTATTGCAAAGATTTATTGTTGTAAATAGAAACTTACCTTCGCATCGGTAAAAGAAGCACTGAAGAATTCTTTGGTATCTACCTATAACACATGCACGAATTATAAAAACAGAGATGTGACAACTAATACCGAGCAAATTATACAAGATTTACTATTTCAAATACTAAATACAAGCTACCTACTCGTAATTATTCTGAGAAATGCAATGAGTGCAAAACGCAAAATAAAATGTTTAATTTTATCGTTGTTTATTTATAATGAAATTGTTCTCCTATTCACTATTAATAAAGATCAGGGATTTTTATTAATAGAGAAAATTTGGGTATTTAATTTAATAGGGTGATATTATTCACACATCAATAAAATACTTAACACAAGTTACGTTACATTTCATTAAACAAAACAAGTTGTTGATATTTTTAATAATATAATACTTAGTTCTGTATGCAGAAGTGAGGCTGGAGTTTTCAGGAAGAAATCAAATTTTAAAATAATCCTAACTGCACATATCGTTTGGGGTACAAAAAAGGACATAGTGTACCTTTTATCCAGAAAACAAATACTGCTCCAAAGGTACAGAAAAATTATTTTTATGTGACCGTCGATGATCTTTGACACGAGCGAAGCCGCGGGTAAAACCTATCATGAAATTTTGTACACACATTATCAAGGGTACAGAAAAGGACATGGGGTAGTTTTTATCCAGAAAAAAATACTGTTCCTGAGAAATACAAAAATTAGTTTTATATGGTCGTCGAATGATCTTTTACATGCATTTAGGACTTCAACGTAGGCGAAGCAGGGGGTAAAACCTACCATGAAATTTTGTACCCACATTATCAAGGGTACAGAAAAGGACATGGGGTAGTTTTTATCCAGAAAAAAAATACTGTTGCTGAGGGATACAAAAATTAGTTTTATATGGTCGTCGAATGATCTTTTACGCGTATGTATTTCAAATTTCAACATAACTTCTCAGATAAAACCCTTTCTTAATAAACGGATATAGTCGACTTTTTACTCATTACCCGGAAGGGAATGTTAAGCATTCGTTCTAGAAATAAGGGAAGAATATCGTACTTTAGCTTCAGCTCAGGTGGAAAAATCTACGAGCAGGATAACCCAACTTTACTCAGCCACTGTGAAAGCTAAGCCATATTGTAGTTTGCATTTAGTATTTTCAAAACAGCAAATTGGTTTAAAAATATCCAAATACAAGTAGAAATTAGTACTTAACATAGAAAATTGTAACAAGTACTTTCTATTTCAAATAAGTCACATCTCTGCTTACAAACTAGAACACAATTTCACTGATTTTGGGCTAGAGTCATTGATAGGTTATGATGCCTTGGTCCAATGTTATTTTGCATAAAACACTTGATAGCACAATTATTACAAATTTTGGATCACACAACGTTAGGCAAATGTTTTGTAACAATTATCAATGAATTTCTAAATATTTTAAATATCACGAAAAGTAGATATTAATACGATCGTTAAATAAACAAATGAACCACCAAACGACATCGTCTAATAACTCGACAATTGACGAGGACGACTACGATTAAATTAGAATGTTGTAATGCAAACACTGCATCTTACGGCTAGAAATCGAGACTTTTCGATTATATTACTACTATGTAATAAATTAATATAAATGTATTTAAATGCAAACTACAATTAAATAAATGCAATTTGTATCTCAAAAATAAGTCAAAAATATCATGCCTTCGGTTATATCGAAATTTGTCGATTGAAAAACATCATTTAATTTTCATCTACAGGGAAGTTAATAAAAATTACTGATAAATAATTAGTCAATTAATAATAAAATTTTTACAATTAGATAAATTCACTTCAACACCTACCTGAAGGAGTTATGTCTGTCTCCATTAAATTTCTATCCTAAAAGTAAACTAAAAGTTCATTTTTAATTAGTTTTAATGAAGCTTCATTCCTGTCGTCCCGCCACCTTGCGTTCATAACAGAGAATACTCTTTGTGTAAATGCTGAAGTGGCCGGAACGGNAGCTAATTTAAAAAATATTTTAATTGTACTTGATATATACAACTTGAAGAAACGTATGGTGCATATTATAAAAATATTACCATTAACGTTACTGTTTTATTTTTATTTTATTCTACCAAATAAACTCGAAATTTCGAGTAATACTTTTCAAAACTTTAGATATGTTTAGATATGGAAGAATTGAACTCATTTTCATCAAGTATACCTAGAAATACGAAAATATTGATCATCAAGTAAATTATCAAACCTTATAAAAATTAGTTATTATGCTTTACCATAAACTGACTCTCACGTAAAGATACAGAGACGTCAAATGTAAAATCTTGGTCCTTTTAGGGTCGGAAGTTAAGGAATAAAATCCCGTTTTAATTTTTAACTTTTAAACATACAAACCTATCTAAATTAATTTAAAAATTATATAGCAACTGGAATAATTTACTGTTTCAATTTGAGTGACGATATTGGTAAAAAATAATTACAGCGTTTTTATATTTTACTGTAATTAGGCTGGTTCTCTAAGGAAGATGTACTTACTCCTCCAGCTTTTGAGCAATAATAATGTTTCATTATTATATTATTTAAACAAAATAAAAACTGGTTATTAGATGTAAGTAACCAGGATTCGTCATAGCACAGCCTGGAGACTTACGAAGAATCGTTTGAGGCGGTCACTTATGTATTGTTAAACAATTTGCTATATGTGCTTTAAGAATAATTGTTAACTATTGTACATATACAACAAAATCTGAAGAAAACTATATTTTCTATGAAACACTGCAGAATTACCTATCTCATTTTACAAAAAAAAAAATGTAAAACTGCCGAAGTTTTTATGTAGAAATAAAAGTTTATGAAAACGAGATAGATATGGTAGCAGTAAAGGTACGATTAGACTAATTATTTTACATTTAACCAATTATAGATCAATAGATGCGATTAAATGCTTCAACACTATTGGATGTTCACTTATACTTTAGTCGTGTGGTTGAGTAAGGAAGCATTACTCACTCTCTTAGTCTAAACGAACCTTTACAACACCATAATTTTAGTTGTTTAAATCGAAGTAATGTTGGAGTTAAAAGTACTGTATTTATTTAAAAAACCACAGCCGATGTTTCGCCCAACTTGTCGGGGTTTTTCAAGGGTAGTTTTATATAGTTAATAAAGTAATGCATTGGGTGTAACTTTTTTAAAGAAATAGAATACTTTTAACCCCAACATTGCNTTACTGTTTCAATTTGAGTGACGATATTGGTAAAAAATAATTACAGCGTTTTTATATTTTACTGTAATTAGGCTGGTTCTCTAAGGAAGATGTACTTACTCCTCCAGCTTTTGAGCAATAATAATGTTTCATTATTATATTATTTAAACAAAATAAAAACTGGTTATTAGATGTAAGTAACCAGGATTCGTCATAGCACAGCCTGGAGACTTACGAAGAATCGTTTGAGGCGGTCACTTATGTATTGTTAAACAATTTGCTATATGTGCTTTAAGAATAATTGTTAACTATTGTACATATACAACAAAATCTGAAGAAAACTATATTTTCTATGAAACACTGCAGAATTACCTATCTCATTTTACAAAAAAAAAATGTAAAACTGCCGAAGTTTTTATGTAGAAATAAAAGTTTATGAAAACGAGATAGATATGGTAGCAGTAAAGGTACGATTAGACTAATTATTTTACATTTAACCAATTATAGATCAATAGATGCGATTAAATGCTTCAACACTATTGGATGTTCACTTATACTTTAGTCGTGTGGTTGAGTAAGGAAGCATTACTCACTCTCTTAGTCTAAACGAACCTTTACAACACCATAATTTTAGTTGTTTAAATCGAAGTAATGTTGGAGTTAAAAGTACTGTATTTATTTAAAAAACCACAGCCGATGTTTCGCCCAACTTGTCGGGGTTTTTCAAGGGTAGTTTTATATAGTTAATAAAGTAATGCATTGGGTGTAACTTTTTTAAAGAAATAGAATACTTTTAACCCCAACATTGCTTTAATTTAAACAACTGAATACAAAATAAGGGAAGAATGATCAAAAGAACATATAAAAATGGTTCATCATAAAAGAAAACCATATAAAGTATAAACGAACTGTTATACACGAAAAGGGAGTGGCTAGAAAACAGTAGCTGTTTAAATAGAAGAAAAGAAAAAGAATCCCAATATTATTTGGGGCGATAGGTTTTAGAACAGATTATCGAATTCTTTTAAAAATTTCAATGCTTACTTACCGACTTTATTTCTACACGTGGGATATAGTAATGATTAAAGTGTCGATTTATTATTATTTTTTTTTTGTACAAGACAAGCACTTAATAGTACTTTTTATTGTCGAAAGGTACAAATGAACCACTGGTAGGTACTATAATTCGTTAATGCAAAATTCTGAACATAATTGTTATCTGGCACAAATAATCCCAAAAATAAAATAATGATACTAGTAGTAGTAGTAAGGAACTATGATTTTAACTAGATCCATGAGCTATCTGTTTTGATGGAAAAATTTTGGCATAATACCTGTGGGGGTCTGTAAATTTATTGGACTTTGAGAATAGTGAACTTTCTTCTAAAACCATTATGGTGTCGGTTTTTTCAAACCATTGAACCAAACATGCGCTTCCCTTTTGTTAAAATAAGACTAACAGCCATTACGGAAAGGATAAAAAATATAAAACCCAAAAAGGTCGTTAGCAGTCTACACCGACACCTCCATTTCTTGTCCTCTTTCATTTTCTTGTTCAGGAACTCCGAACGGGGCAAGTCGAGTGTAAAATCCGCTTCCGGTCTACCACCAGGCTGAAAAGAAAATATTTTTTTTAAATTATATATTCGAGAAGTATCATGGTTGGATTTAATATCCTTAAATTACAGAATACAGACAAATTGGTTTTGTAATGATTCCGCATGTAATGACATTCCGTTTACTACATCGTAATATTGTATTATGCAGTTAAAAGAAGAACAAGAAGAATATGCATGTACAGTGTAAACTCTATATAACGACACTTAAGGAACTGAACATTTTTCGGCGTTATAAAGAGTGGTCGTTAAATGGAGAGAAATAAAAGATATTATTTTACTATTCTATAATAATATGCATTTACCAATATAGTACACATTTTGCACACGAACATTATTATTCATACATTGCGTATAGCCTGTTATCTTCGTCTGATGTTTTTTGCTGCTCCAATATTTTAATTGTATTTTGTTACGTATCTTACTCATATCTTGAGATACTGCTGGATCAATTTGATTATATAAAAAGTATTTTTTTAATAGTTTCGCTGCATCAAGTGCTTGTTTGATGCTTGGTGGAGGGACAGGATCGTCTTCTTCAACAACGTACACAGCTGCAGTTCTTATCTATTTCGGCAACTTAGAAAGTACTGCTCAATGATTTATAATGCCGCATTGTTGTCGTTAAATAGAGTGAGCGTGACGCTATATAGAGTGTAATATTGTATAGAAAACAATGTAAACCAACCAAAGTCAAGCAATTTCGACGTTTTAAGGAGTTTGTCGTTAAATCGAGTGACGTTATAAAGAGTTTACACTGTATTTCTTTGGTGAGAATAGCTCCGGTTTGTGTGGCCAATCGCTTATAACAACCGTCTACAACTGGCAAACCGCGGTCCAGGTCCGGACCGTGGGAGATCAAGGGGGAAACCGCTATAAATTTTTAACAAATAAATTATATAAAAAATATTTATGTTTGAGTTTTGAGCATCACGCTTATCATTTGTTGGAGGTGCGAATACGTTTTTTCTGGTCCTCGGCAAAAGTTTTCAAAAGTATCCGGACCCTACCTAAACTTACTTGCCGACCCCTGGCTTATAATAAGGTACTAGAGTTTTAAGATGCCTATTGGTCATACCCCATGATTTTATTCAAAACATCCCTCTACTTTTAATCATATGAATAAACACAAGATACATTTTCCCAAATGTCTTTTTTTAAATAAATACTTTTCTATAGTACTTAGGTACTTATAGTAATCAGCCCAAAAAACAATATCGCAACTAAAATATTTTGAATTATCCATTTTTTATTTCTTACTAGCTTTTCCCTGCGGCTTCGCTCGCAGAAATTAATATTGTTTCTCCATAAAACCTTTTAAATCTCAATTCACCCCTACAAAGATTTAATTTTATGTAATATCGCCAGCTTAGAGCAACAATATTTCATCCTTAAGGATAGATTTTTAAAAATTGCCAAAACACGTATTTGCTTAATTTCGACAATGAGTATTAATAGCAACCTTCGAGTAAATCCGACTACAAATAAAATATATAGCCCATGGAAACTTTGCGACCTCTTTTCATTTGATTAATTATATCAAAGATCATAAATACCAAATTTCAAGTAAATTCAACCATAAATAAAGTATGTCCCAAACAAAAATTGCAACCACTTTTAACCCTCCTCCCCTTTGGAGGTTGAATTTTTTTAAAATGCCGAGATACGTGTTTCAAGAATTAAATGATTAAATGAGAGAGAATTAAGACCAAGTTTCAAGTAAATCTGACCACAAATAATATATGTCGCATTCAAACATTGCAACTCCTTTTCATCACCTTCCCCCTTCCCCCAACAGAGGTTAAATTGAAAAAATGTTTCATGCAACCTTTGCGAACCCCTTTCAGCTTCCTGCAGAAGTTGAATTGTTTTTAATGTTAAAATAGGTATAATTATATATTTGTATGAAAGGGTATTAAAACTAAGTTTCAAGTAAATCTGACCAGATAAAAAAATGTTTCATGCAACCTTTGCGAACCCCTTTCAGCTTCCTGCAGAAGTTGAATTGTTTTTAATGTTAAAATAGGTATAATTATATATATGAAGCATAAAGCCAAGTTACAAGTAAATTGGACTAAAAATAATATATCTAGCATATAAACGTTACAACTCGTTTTCACCCCCCTTTCAGAGGTGGAATTTTTTAAAATGCTGAAATAGGTATTTGATTTTATGCCAATGAGTATAAATATCAAGTTTCATGTAAATCTGACCAAAAACGAAAATGTCAGAATTTATAACACGAAGGTTTTTCGATATAAAATTACTATCCGGATTTTCCCGTGTATTTTCCAAATATTCTCATTCTCACAAACCTTGTCCTGTCAATTACAAATACAAATAATAATACAAAAAAAATCGGTTGTCTGTAAAGTCGGTTTACTGACGATAGTTGAACGTAACAACGTCATAAGAAAATACTGATGGAATGGTTTCATTTTTCAAAAGAAAATTTTAATTTTATTTGTTTGATAGATATTTTGTATGGATATAGAGAAGGAGGTAAATGGAAATGTATTATTGTATAGCAGCTGTCCACGCGCACGCATCGCTCACTCAAGTAGGAGAGAGACAGATGTCGAACGCTGCCGAACGCGGAGACTGATTGTGCCTCTTTATCGCTCGTTCCGCGCTCTCGCTTGCACTTCGATCCTTAAATGGAACGCCTCAGAGCGAGGTAACGCCACATGAGTCATGTTTTTTCGTGCGTGCAGCCGGCTCCATCGAATTATAAGACGTCACGTCAATAAATCACTCAAATCGGTTGATGCTTCGTCATACGCTTGGCAATTCACTAAAATTGACAGCTAGGAATTTACTTTTTACGTTTTTCTGGGAAATTTTTACAATTTTTCTCTTCATAAGAACCTTCCTTGGACTTCAAGCAATACCTTAAAAAAATTATCGAAATTGGTTAAGCCGTTCTCGATTTAGCGACCAATTTTTATGTATATAGATTACGTACTTCAGTTAGATCTTCATTATTATTTTTTTTTTATTTATAAAAGATCGCTGTTACGATACAAAATTTAAATTTACACTTAAGGTAATTCTATCGACCTAAGAGATTGTGCAAACGTTGCAAAATAGGCGATCTTCATGCTGGTGCGAACTTTTGCAATCCTTGCAAACTTATCGGGACGTGACCAAGGATTTCACGACCGACATCATCATCTGAATTGCTCGCAGGCTTCGCACATTATGCGTAGACGGGCAGCGCAGCGTAGACATGAACGCGTCGCGATCTTGGCAATTGTGAAGATAATAACACGCTGTTTAAATTATCGTCTCTTCTCTATTTCCACTCACTTGTCTCAGTTAATTAAACTTTAAACCTCTGTTGTGCAATTGACTAGAAGCCGACGGGATTGTAATTAATAAAATTGGGTTCATAATTTTTCTCTTTCAAGGAGAGAGGGTGTATGTACAGATAGGCCGAGTATCCGTTTGATTCTTCTAGGATCCGGCAGGGTACCGGATAACGATGCCGGTTACCTGGCAACACCGGGTAATTCTACTAGAGAAAAAATAAAAGAGAAACGCCAACTATAATAAGTCAATATGTACGAGGTCCGTTCAGTTAATTTTTGACAATTGCTTTCCTTGTACGTGTTTTGGCTCGTCTTCGATTTTTGTCTATTCCAAAAAAAAAAATCGAAGAATCTGTATAAACTTTTGTGTGAAAAGCAAAATTAAGTGCAGGGACCCATTGCGAATGTTGACTGTGGCATATGGTGAAGTTACCTTGGACCAAAGCAACGTTTATCGGTAGTACAAAAGTTGGCAGAGGTCCAAGAAGATGTGAACGCTGAAGAGCGTGCCGGACGCCTGACTACGTCAACAACAGACGAAAACATTGATCAAGTGAACAAAATAGTAAACTAAACTAAACTAAATTTGCTCCATAAGGTCATAACAGGTGACGAATCATGGGCTTATGGTTATGACTTGGAAACCAAAGCTCAATCATCCCAATAAAAGCTGCCGCACGAGCCAAGACCAAAAAAAAGCACGTCAACCAAAACTTAAGGTGGTCTAAGACGTTCGTGAAGACGATATTTAATGGAAAATACGCTAGAAAAAAGAATTCCGGTGCATCTCTAGTCCATGGTGCTTCAACCCTTCTTATCCTAAATCGAAATAAAGTCAAGACATTTCGGCTTCTGTTATAAATAAGGAGTTAGATTACTATTTAGATTTTGCAGTTGGTTGTAATATTTGAAGAAGCTAATGTCTAAAGAAACATTCCACATCTGCCCTTTGTATTTTTGTTTAAGACTACAAAAATTTTAAAAATCATTTGTGTATGATCCTATTAGGACTTAAAGATAGCTTTAAGTAAAATGGAAGCGGTATTGACAAAACTGTACTGTATGAAAATAAATAAAAGTAAAATTAAAATACTGAAATTCAAGGAAAGAAAAAGTAGGGAAAGAGCGAATATAAAAATAGGAGACGAAAAATTAGAAGAAGTGGCCGATTTTAGGTATCTAGGAAGTCAGATAAGTCAGGACAGAAGGAGTAGTAGGAATTTAAAGCAGAGGATAGCGCAGGGTCGTGTCGCCTTTAATAAAAAGGAGTCACTTCTATACTCGCGACCGGTTAATTTAGAAATTCGAAAAAGGTTGTTAAAGGTGTCTGTTTGGAGCACGGCGTTGTACGGGTGCGAAATATGGACAGTGGGCGTGACGGAAAAGAAAAGGTTAGAAGCGTTCGAAATGTGGTGTTATCGACGAATGATGAGGATAACGTGGATAGAAAAGGTTAGAAATAAAGAGGTATTAGAAGGAATAGGAGAACAAAGGACTGTATGAAAGTCAATAAGAAATAGGCGAGATAGGTTGGTGGGACACCTTCTCAGGCATGAAGGTCTAGTCAGAAACATATTAGAGGCAGAAACAGGATTTAGGAGGAGTAGAGGTAGACCTAGATTAGATTACTGTTCGCAAATAGTCAAGGAAGTAGGTTGTTCTAGTTTTAGGGAAATGCAAAGTTTA